AAGCCGCAGGACTGAGAGGCGGTTGCGGCGGGCGGATGCGTGTGCGTGTGCGGATGCATGTGCGTGTGCGGATGCGTGTGCGTGTGCGGTGGCCTCTCTTTGGCAGTCCGGGCGGTCCTCGTTTATTATTTAGCACCAATTGTAACCATATAAAACAAAATTGTGCCTCTGACCACTGGGAAGGCGATGGAGAAGGTCGTTCAGTTGCCCCCCCCCCCCACCCGACTTTGGAAGTTGTTGTAAAAGTTGTTGGCCGGGTGGGGGTGTGGCAGCGGTAACATTACTTCAACTTTCTCGTCCACTCTGCAGCATAGCGCAGCAAGTACATTTACAAAAGAGGGAAAAAAGCAAAATTAGCACAACTGATGCGCTTTCTAAAAAGTGTTACATGGATGACTCGCTGGCTCTAGCAGTTTCGTTTTTCTAATTAAGTTGACATTAAATCGAATTTCTCCTGGATTTCTGAAACCAAAAGCCGGTATGAAAGTTTACCTTCATGGAATCATTTGTTGTAAGGAAACAATGGGGCTTTGTGTAGTTGTTGCTTGTTGTGTTAAAATAAGACCTTTTCTTTGTGTGTTGCATTGTTTTAAGTGCCATCTGCCGTAAGATGTCCTTCCAGTGTTTCCTATGCATCACAAACTGATAAAAAGTATTTAACATTTTAATAGTCATAATAGTATTTTAGGCAGCCAGTTTTGTTGATCATTTTTCATTTGTTGCTCAGAAAAAAACTATTATGAATGCCTGGTCTGTCCAAAGATGCATTTGATCAATTTTAGCCTCCATCATGTCGGCCATTTAGGGTTGGATTAGATGCTGGCAGGCTTGGAAAAACAATTACCTTGCCAGGCAAATCAGGAGAAATGTGTCCTGTCACTTTATGAAACAGCCCTGGAGAAGCCGTCTGCCGCTGCTTCAGACGGGAGTTGACATTCCGGACGTGCTCCGTCAGCCGCTCCATCCTAATAAACAAAGACTTTTGCTTCGCTGAAGGAGGAGCTAGTCTTCCTGTAGTGTTTTTTATTTTTATTTTTTTTAATTAAAAAAGGTTACAGTCTCTCACTAATTCCAGCTAACATGCAATGTGGGAGAGCTGGTTTTTATTCTATTTTTTGGCCTGTAATACAAGTCCTTGTAAACAGATTTAATCTGATCAGCGAGGACTGTGATGTAAGCTTCAGTAACGCGGTGTAATCAGGCGTGCCTTTTGTAATGGCTCAATCTGATTTTAATTGCAAGGTCCTCCTTTAAATGGGAGGAAATGATTCTGTCTCGGCCGCATGTGATTGTGAATGCCAATGATGGCAATATGACTTAAACACGTAACTGACAGGCACTACCTCTCTGGAGCGATGTGTGGCTTTCGGTTGAACAAACATTAGCAAGCGATAGCCTTTATCCATTCTGGTGTCTTCAGTAACTGCTTATCCAGAGCAACAGTTAGGCTGTACACTATACCAGGAAGCACAGAACATAGCTTGGGACACCCTCAATGGCATAACAGTCCATGACAGCAGACAACGATAACCTTTTTATCCAAATAATAACTCATTACTCAGTGCTTTGACATACACGCCCTCCTTTGAGCCAGAGGGTAAATCTTTGCCTTTACGGTGCAAACAGAGGAGGATTTATTTGTTCAGGAGCAGCACAACGGTGCCTCCATCAACAGGGTGAACGGCAGCCTGTCATCATGGAGAAGAATGCTTTGAAGGGCGCCTCAGATGGGATGTCATTCCCAAGAGTTCTGGAAAGTTCTCCCCCTTGCGAAAAAGCATATGGATGCAGAACTGTGATTCTGCTCAAGGTTGCCCCTGCTTTGGCGGACACTCAGAGACCATGACACAGCACGACAAGCAGAAGCCCAGTTAGAGTTGGCCCACACTCAATCCACCAATGAGACGACATATATTTACAGTTGATGGTGAAATATGCAAATTGCCCAACGTAACGAAGTATGCCTTCACTCTCATGCTGATCTTCCCTCCAGCGTGCTGTTTATTATTCTGAAACCACTGTCACAATGGGAAACCCCATATGTTCGGTAAGGTTGACTGAACCACAGCCTATAGTTTCACATTAGCCTTTCGCTAAAGTTTATATTTGGCATTCAGCTGTCTGCTGCCATCCCTTACTCTGCTGTTTGGGTCTGATGTATTTTTTTATTTAGAGCTATTGAAATGTATATTGCATTTGACAGGACAGCCTGGCTTCGTAGAAATATGATGTCACTAAATATACATATATATAATATTCAAAATTTGTTCTGTCCTTTTCAGGACAGGGAACGTTGGAAAAGAACAGGATGTCAGAGACGAATCTAATTACTGAAACAGGGTATTAGGTAGTGAAGTGGCCTTTCTCCCTTCAATTAATCAGATACAGCCAGACTTGTACGCCTTATTTAATTGGGATTTATCAAGGATGGCGTTGTGGAGGTTGGTCACGACACACGACGATGAGCGTGAAATATTCAAATATCACTTTTATCCTCACAGAAGACACCAAAAACTGCGGAAAATATCAGTTGTAACACACAAGGGTGGGTGGGAAAAATATTAAAATGCTTTGCTTATGTGTATTAAGGAATCAGCCACAGATTTTTCTCCATCCATCCATCAATTCAAAATTGAGATTTTGAATGGATCAAATTGTGTCCAGGGATAGTAATATGAAAGGAAGTATGCATCATTTTCTCAAGGTAAATTACCAAGGAGCTCCTCAAAGTTGTAGCATCCCGTGTCCTCCTCCAAAAACATTCAAGGTACTAATTAAATTTGTTGAATGCAGTGTGCCAAAGCTAATGGGTCATAGATGATTAACAGCATTCTTAAGTATATTCTTAAATGGGGAATGCAGATAAAATGGACAAAGGGGTATCTGTAATGGAGTGTGAAATCTGGCCACTTTGCTACCATATGAATACATCAATTTGGATACAAAATTTTTAAAAAATTGTCAGAATTCTCGTAAGAACAATATTTCTCTGTCAGTTGCCCCATCGCCTTTGCAAATAGATGGATCCTTTCAATTTTGTAGTTAGAGAGTTTGAGAATTCCAGAACATTTCCAACAAGGTAATGGGGCTCATTTTTGGGCACCACACAGATGCAGTGTGTCTCCCATAATTTCCTGGGGGGGGGGCATTACATACTACCAGCTGTGAAGGTGCTTTAACATGAGCCTTTGTTCAACACATGCTAACGATGCTGCCAGCTGCCCTGTGACATTTCAGTGGAGGGCGGCAGGCGATGTGGACGATCGCAGTTTCCCGCTCAGCTCCGTGCAGGAACTCAGACCGAGGTTTGAACTCATTGCTGAGGCAGCTCGACAATTTTTCTAAAGGTTCCCTTTTCCTTCGATAATTTTATAGCCGCTAAAATGTTAGAGGGTCTCAAGGGGTTTGGCGTCCCGTTCGTCATCTATGCCGCCATTTTGCTCAGGTATTCTTACGTGACATTTGTCATTCGATAGAGCCTTTGATGTTCTCCGTACATGTTCCCTTTGACGACGAGGATCTACGGACATCTGTGTATCATGAATACTGTCGGCCATTTCTTGTACATCCCTTTGTTCCGCGGTCGATCCTGTTATCATCTGCGGTGTGCTGGCCTGTTTTTTTAGATCAAATGCTAGGCTGTGTATCCATGGAGACGATTTAAAATAAGCGATTACACGTTAATAAGCAGCTCAAATGACACTGTAGATTCCTGGAGGCTGTGAAAGTTGACTATTCTTTGTTTCCTTCTGAATATGTTTGTGTTGAATTAACAACTTTCAGTTTGACTTCATTTGTAATTTTAGTGATATCCCACATATTTTAGCGATATTGTTAATGTATGTTTGGCTATGTACGACTGTATCTGGTCACGTTTGGGTTTCTCCTTGCACAACCTACCTGTACATCTTGTGAGATATCAAAAACGTACAAGATCTTCCCTGTTTAGTTAATAATGATAATTAATACCTTTCAAAATAAAAATGCAATGTTTCCATTAAAATTGCTTTGAAATGTATTTTTTGATACTTTATAACTTCTGCATAGTTACATAATTACAAAAAAATTATGTGGTATTGAAATAACAATTAAAAATATCTCTAAAATTTAACTGGGAAGATTTTTATTACTAGATTCTCACCAAACTCTGTGCTGTATATAGACACGGCTGGGTAGTAGTGGCTGTTCCCCATGGCTGGAAATGACTTAATGATTATTATTATTATTATATGGCAGCATGGCAGCATCAGAATTGCATTACATTTGAAGTTATCATTCCTTGAGGTGTAAATATTGCTTAAAAATGCCTGTATATTGCACACACGGTGCAATCTGCCTCTTCCAAGACTGGGCCCCATCCTGCTCATTCTTAAACATGAATTTGTTGCTTGAAAGCAATACGTGTCTTTTTGAAACCACGTTAAGTCAAACTAGGAAACGTCAAAAGAAGATGACATTTTTTTCTGCACTCTCTCTGCAATGATGTCCTTACATTGACTGCACAAAAAAAACTTTTATCACAATTACAACAATTCCTTCATGTATAAAAAGTACAGGGAGCTGAGAATGTTCTATAGTAAAAATTGCAGTGTAAGGCTGCAAAGAGACTTTTCTGTTCTGGTTTGTAATGGACATCTGTGGCGTATATTAGCCCTGCAAAATGTCAGCATTTCTCTGATCTCTGTACCAGAACCTGCCACATTATTCCTGACTGTCTTCTGTTAGCTGATGTGCTCAACGTTTTGAAACATCATTTCCACACTGATGAATGCGATATGTGATACATATAGTAATGGAAAATGCCTGCGGGCTCCTATTTTTTTTTTATATATAATCCCCGTTTCCTTGAATCGTGGGTGCTAGGAACTGCTGAAGGTAGCTGGATAACTGCTTACTGTGGAATAGTCTGACCCTGGCAGGTACCACCCTAAACCACTCCCCCATGTACACTGGGAGACGTAGAAATGCTGCTTGCATTGGCTTTCACAGAACATTTACCTCATTAAAGCAGAAGAGGTGTTAGATTCTCTGTCCTCATGACGGGACGCACAGAAGAACTCATATGACGCTTGCGTTTCAACAGAATCCCACCTTGTAAGGTCTGTTGTGTTTTTTAAAATAATGCGCATCGTAGATTTTCATTTATCACTGACGACTGCATGTGAAGAGCAAAGGTCCATTAAAGCCACAATTAGCTGCCCTCTTTAACACTGATGAGATCAGCGTTTGCGTTAAAAGCGATACATGTTAAGAATTGAGTGGAGAGGTATTGGTATATTTGCGCCTACTGCTCTATAGTAGTTAATATGCAGTCAATACACCAGCTTTTATAAATAACTGTTGCTTAGAAATTGTCCTTGGATTTCAATTTGCTCTGCCTGAAAGTGGCCTGTGGAAATGGAATGGTTAGGCTCTCCGTCTTCCGACGGGGTGTTTTTGTTTTGTTTTAGGCGCGACTGAGATGGTGAAGGTAATAACAGAAATGCATCCCGTTAAAAAGCGAAGCTGTGACTCGCATCGTAATGATACTGGTGGGTCCAGGGCTCCGGTTCCTGAGAGCCGCACGGAATTCTGGGAAGGAGGTGGCCAGCGGTCCAGACAGTTATTGACAAATGTTGGGTTTACCGCAGGTTACTACCGCAGTCTGAAGATATGCTGTTAGGTGAACTGGCATTTGTAAATTGCCCTGAGTGTTTGACTGTGGGCTCCTGTGTCATGCCCACTGCTGCCTAGGACAAGCTCCATCCATCCACCAACCCATGGGTGGAAGAATGGAGGGACGGATGGATGCAAACGGCTTTTCTTGTATATCCTACAATGCTGTTTGACGCTATTCCCAGAATCGCATTTTTAATAAAAGCACGTCACCCTTTTTCAAAAACCATGCAGCGCCTGTCTTGTGCAAATGTTTTCACATGTTTTTGTTAATTTTTTTGCTGTAGCTATATGGTGGTACTTGAAGCTTAGCAGCCACTGTGGGGAATTTTTGCTTACCCCAAATCTGCAGCTTGGCAAACAAGAACAAAGCACAGATTACCCACAAGTCACATAATAAGATTCATACGTGGGAAAAGTCTCTGTACTGCTTCTTTTTATACATTATTTTATATTTTAAAATAATGAATGAAAAGAATCAGTGAAGAGGATTTTCCCACATATTAATTTTAATAAGTGACGTGAATTTTGGAGTAACGCAAATCAAAGACGTTTCCCGTCATGTTTTCTCGAGGTTAATAACCTCAGAAGAAAAGCCATTCCCCTGTGAGATACAGAACTAGGCAGGATTCTTGACGTGGGTGGTTCAGTAAAATGTTATCGTATATGTTTCAGTTCTGATTTTCCCAAATCTATTCTGGTAGAATATATTTGCTCACCTTGACATAATTGCATTGAGCAGATCTGTTAAACGTTCGTTTTTGCATCTGACAGCTAAGCAACGGTATTAACAGTATATTTTGTTATAGCTTATGAATTATGTCTTTAACATGCCACACGTGCCGATAAATGCCACTTGAGTACATCGTAACGCTGGGGGGAGTGCCGATCGAAGCGTCAACACGGGGCAAGCGGCTCATCTAACGGGCTTATGAAACGCTTTTGCCGTTGATCGGGGCGTCGAATCCTGCGCTTCCTCAGCTCACTGTGATGTTTTTCTTCTTTCCCCTTGAACTTCTTCAATTGTGGAAGATTTGGAGGTCGCCTGCCGTGCCAAAGCGTGTGGGCCACGTAATGGTGTGAGGAAACGGGGGGAGGTAGCGAAGCCGGCAGCTTTCTGCATAGATTAAAAGAAAACATTTTTCTTTTCTCCCCGGACAATTAAATGTCCTGGCCGAGCCGCTTTCACGCGCACTCTGTTTTGTTACGATCTGTATGAGCTTCTCTGTGCCATATCCGTACTCTGCTTTGTCATGTGCATTAGTGTACTGTTATCGCATAACTTATTGCATTAGTGGAGAAAAAAAATCCTAGTGACATACATTGATCGGTGTTTTTTCCCAGAAAATGAAAATTCCATTAAAACAAATTTCTTGCCTGAGGGTATTGTGTTATTCAGGAAAGTCTTATTGTAAACATCCGTCTATCCAGTCAACTGGGGGGGGTGCACAAGGCTGGGGTGCGCCTTGGATGGGGTGCCAGTCCATCACAGAGCACACACACATACATACAGTATAGACACACACACATAAATACAGATGCACAAATACATACTGGCTCAATGGACAATTTAGGTACTAATTGCATGCATACAGAAAAAAAGGTTGAAGGAATCAATCTATAGTATAGCAGCAGATTGGACATACCAGGGACATATCCTTAATTTTGGTTTTCATTTTAAGATGAACTGTCTCTGACAGTCGTTTGAAGCCTTGGGTGACGCTACTTAGAATTTAAGATCTGAGATCCTCTGTGAGGCAGCGAGGAGTCAGACGGACTGCAGTCCTTCCGCTTCAGCTGCACGGCACCCTATTCCGTGCCGCGTAATGAGAGCTGTTCCCGGCAACTCGCTGAGAAATTTGCCTTTCCTCCCCTGCAATCAGCCAAGAGGGCCGGCCGCCTGGGACTCGGAGTGCGAATGAAGGCAGTCGGCTTCGCACGCCAGCGGGCTCCCGTCTCACACCCGTGGGGAGCGAGGCACCTGCGGGTGAGCCGAAAGGAGGATGGTGCCGTTTCCGGGGGGGGGGGGAGGTGTCTGAGTCAGGCGGGACCCCTGCCGGCACCCAGTACCTTGGTGCCCGCATTGTGCTTGAGTCACTTTTGTGCTAACGTTAGGGCGAGTGAGCCCTCATGTCAGTGGGTATGGAGTGTCAAGGTGATGTGCAGCGGGAAATAGGCAATTTTTGTTTCATTTTTGTGTTCAACGGTGGCCAAGTCATTTAGACTTTACCCAACAGAACCTAATGGTGGTCACTGTAGCCTGACTCCGCCCACGGGCCCCAAAACTCACTGTGATTGGTCAGTCTGCCCTCCCCCACCCATATCATAGCACCATTCTTCAGGTATGAGTCTAGAGTTGGCTTTTTTGACTCATTGCCTCATCTCCCGATGCATTTCCCCATTTAACTGTGTCAGAACAGAGGCCTAACCGGCGGATTGTCAGTCCGCAGTGTCTGGGATCAAAGTGGTGCTGTGTTCGGCGTTAAGATTTCAGAAAGTTTATCAAAGGACTGAGAAATAGAGAGCGCCAGTTCGGCTTTGCATTGCCGGGGGCCTTGGGCTTGCTCAAGCTCGTCTTGCAGAAGGCCTTTCTGGAGTCACCGTTACATTCTACCTCCTGGGTGCTGGTCTGGTGTCACCTTACCTCAACGCACATATTTTTGCAACTATTATTCCCTTCATGCACTGATCGTTTGAAGCACTGTCCTCTTACCATGGAGTAGCAGCTACCATTGAACAAGATTGGCGGTTTTACGTTTTTCTTTATTGGTTTTTAAAATTTAATCATACGGTGGAACGCAGGTGATGAATCGGCTACAATTGCAGATGCAGAGGTACGCGTCCACTTCAAAACGAATGAATACGTTCATAAGTAAGCAAGTAGAGATCATGATTTGTTCATAAGTAGAATATGAAAAGATTCCAGCACTATCCCATGATATGGGGGAGGCCGCCTCAGTTTTAAAGTTTAAATAATATCAAAATAAGCATGTTTAAATTCTGAGAGTAAAACTTTTTTGAAATTTCTCCACCATACTTTTATTTCAAGGGAAATTAAAAATGAATATGTAGAATAAAGATATCCTTAGATTTATGGGCCCTGACTGTTGATATTCTTCATTAGCTTTAGATGGGTAGTGCGTAGGTTTTTGGACGGCGATTATGACCCAGCATGACTTGTTATAACTCTGTTACGAAGGCGCCATGGTCTCGCTGCCAGGCAGCATTAGCACACGACATTAAGTGGCGGTTAGCGTCATGTACTGCCGGTTGGGCCTGACAGTGGAAGGCCTCCGTAGCTTTGATGGATTTCTCTGTGTTCTAAAATGGCACTAATTGCAATTACGGGCCTGCAGTTACTGTCTTTTCACACTGAGCCGGACATGTTTAGTAGGCTTTTATACCAGTGGGTCAACAGGAATAGCTGACAGCCTGCGAAAGTGTGACTCTGCTAGTGCTTGTAAGATTTTCACGCTCCGGTTTTTAAAATAAAATGTGAATTTCAGTTAATATTTCATTGCACGTTGATGTTATCGTACCATTGAAGACCGTATTAAAGTGAGACTTCTATTTTATTCCGAGTATAACTATGCACCGAAATATTGTAAGATTGTGCTACTGACTGTTGAATAAAAGAAGGAATATAATTATATATAATTATTATAAAAAGGGGTAACAATTAAGGGTTTTTTCCCAGAATGTGATTTATTTATTTGCAGGGGCGGAGTGGCATCTATGTGGCAGCATTACCGCCTCACACATCCCAGGTTCAGGATTCGGATCACACATCCCAGGTTCGGGATTCGGATCACACATCCCAGGTTCGGGATTCGCATCACACATCCCAGGTTCGGGATTCGCATCACACATCCCAGGTTCGGGATTCGCATCACACATCCCAGGTTTGGGATTCGGATCACACATCCCAGGTTCGGGATTTGCATCACACATCCCAGGTTCGGGATTCGGATCACACCTCTGCTCGGTGTGCAGGGTTTGCACGTTCTCCACATGGCACATCTTTCCTACAGATACTCAAGTTTTCTGCCACAGTCCAAATACATGCAGTTAGGCACAATGTCTGTAGCGTATCACTGTGTGTGCGTGTGCCCTGGCATCCCATCCATGCTGGACTCTAACATTTGCCTTGTGCTCCTGGGGACAGATGACATATTGCAAAATGAATTTAGAGATTAATTGCCATTATTGACACACCGCAGTACACAGTGCACAACAACGAAATGTATCCTCTGCATTTAACCCATATGTGGCAATGCAACATAGCAGGGGGCAGCTAATTCAGCGCCCGGGGAGCAGTGCTTGGGGACGGTACCTGGCTCAGGGTAGCTCAGTAGTGCCTTGCTAGTCAGGGATTTGAACCTGCAATCTTTCAATTACAAGTGTACTTCCCTAACCATTAAGCCACCACTACTCACACCCACAA